GCCTGGAGTTCTGATGTCCAAGGCAGCAGAAGAAAAGTGTGTTCCAGCACTCAGACACCAATTCACTTTCTGTATTTGTTCTCTTTGGGCCCCTGGTTGAGTGGATGGTGCCTGCTGATATTGAGGGCAGATCTTTCTAACCTAATCATCTCAGACTCACACTAATCTCCTCTGACAACACCCTCACAGACACACCCAGAATAATGCCTTACCAGGTTTCTAAATATTCCTGAATCCAGTCAAATGGATGCCTAAAATTAAGGTGTCATTAATTAAGCCCATGAATCTACCTCCTGTCAATCTAGTACCCACAGGATCTTCTTAAGTCATACTTAATTTAATAAAGATGGTAACAAGGTAACAGTTCCCCCCAATGTGATGCAACTATCCTGTAATTGTGATTTTGTGGGTTTTCGATGTTAGGAATTTAGATTTCAGGGATTTTAATCTTTAGGGATTTAAACTTTAGGGATTTTGTGTTGATCTTTCAACATTTGTGGTGATGGCATTTGAGACCGTGTCTTTGAGATTGTGATCCAAACCCCAAAATATATAATGCTAATAAGGGAGAAGAATCACATACGTTTTTTTTCCATTTCCAACTGAGACTCTGGGGTGACCTTCAAAATCCTGCTCTGCTTTTTCCTTGAAATTGTAAATTCTCCAGAGTTGTTCCAGTACCTACATGCTCAAGATGTATTTATTGGTCAGATGGATGATTGGATGGATGGTAAGATGGATGGATGTTTGGTGGCTAGATGGGTGGATGGATGGATGAATGGATGGGACCCGGAGAGGGAAGCGATCTCCTTTCTGTTGTTTGATCTCCTTTTTCTTCTCTTCTGCTTCGGGAAATGGAGCCCCTCAGCTCTTGGCTGGTCACCTTGCAGCTTTTGCCATTGTCCTGCCCTGTGGCACCCGCATTCTGCCTCTGTTGACATCCCTTCTGCAGAGAGTTGGGGTAGGGCTACAGGAGAAAAGAGGGTAAACAAGTAGTAATTTCCTTGAGTACAGTCTTTGAGCCAGTGAAATGCCAGGCATCATTTCCAAGGGGTACTTGACATCTTGTCAACAACCCGTTGATGATGCTCCTTCGATGTGAATGTCAAAAGCAGGAGAGACGCTGAGTAAAGAGGATGCCAAGCCCTGGGGAAGACTGGCATCCCCTCCAGGCCTGCGTACATACACCACACCCACCTGTACCCCAAGCACCACGCCCACACACCCACAGGCCAGTGTTTTGGGGTTGGCAGCCTGGGCACTGCTGAGGCAAACACAAGTCATTGAGCATAACTCTCATTCTCTCCTTCTGTCTCTGTTTTAGTTACAGGAACTTGGTCAGTTTAGAGGATTTAATAAGTCCGTGGAAAATTTGTTTCTGTCTCTTGCCACCCACGTGAAAAGTAAGTGCATGCTTCGTGATGTGTTTTCCCACCACCTCCAGGCCAGCTGAGCCCACTGGCCAGGGCCTGGCTGGTGACCTTGGTGGGCACTGTCCCTCAGGCCACTCACTTTGTCTCTGGACCCTGGGGAAAGCTGCAGCACCCAGACCTTTGTCTCTTTCCCAGCAGAGCAGGCGTCTGGTTCCTTGTGGGTAGGGAAATGCCATTTCAGTCCACAAGGCTGGCTCAGTTTCCCCTACTCTTGCCAAAACCTGCCCAGCTCAGCATCATGGGCAAAGGAGCTTAGACTTCCCTGAGAACCAACAGAGAAAGTGTAAAGATACAATTTCAGGGCCAGGCTTGGTGGCTCATACCTGTAATCCCAACACTTTGGGAGGCCAAAAGGTGGGTGGATCACTTGAAATCAGGAGTTTGAGAGCAGCTTGGCCAACGTGGTGAAACCCCGTCCCCACTAAAAATACAAAAATTAGCCGGGCATGATGGCGAGTGCCTGTAGTCCCAGCTACTGTGAAGGCTGAGGCAGGAGAATCACTTGAACCCAGGAGGTGGAGGTTGCAGTGAGCCAAGATCACACCCCTGCACTCCAGCCTGGGCGACAGAGCAAGACTCCGTCTCAAAAAAAAAGGTACAATTTCAGGGAACCTAAAACCAGAAGCTTTCAGGCCGTTGGGGCCCAATGTCTATCATCTGCATGGAATTACTTCGCCTTTCTCCTTTTCTCCTGGGTAACTGTATTTTCTTCAGTTAGCACTAATCCTGTGATCAGCAGATGCACGTAACCCAGAACCACTTCCACTTGGAATCTTGTGTCTTTCAGTGTTCTTTTTGCTCAGACACTTTTTTCTCTGCTTATCTTAAAATACAAGTCCCAGAGAACTGGCCCTTTCTCATGCCTCCTAAGACGCCCAGGGCCGGTCAGTTGTTTAGAAAATGCCCTTAGTGGGCTCAAGGGTCCTTAGGCACAGATTTCTCTTTCACTGTGTTTCTGCTTGCTTCTCTTCATCATCCACTTTTCTGCAGTTGCATGCAGATGGTCTCAGTGCTGCTCTCGACTCTGAGGCAGTCTCTTTTTATGACTTTAGTTGTCTGAATTCCTCATGAACCTTGTCTCAGCTGTCACATGATAACAATGGACATCAAAGTGCTGCTCTTCAGGTGAGCAGAAACAGTGACTGTCTCTGCAACGATCCGTTCCTTTCGTGTTCAGAGGGAGGAAGCAACTGAATTTCATGGGCCTGTTTGCCAAGAGCACTTGGTGGCTTAAAAATCACTGCTCCCAGCCTGCTGGGCCATCTGACAGTACCCCCGCTCTGTGCCCCTCGGCCTGGAATGGACTTTCCAGCTGTCCCGGCTGCCTGTCCTCTTGCGGGTGCTATTTTCCCACCCATACCTAGTAGGTGCTAGTCCACCCTTCTCTGTATGTCTTTCTAGATGCACAGCCCTTCTCCAAGTCTATGTGGCTTCTGTGAATTGTCTGCCACCACTGCCACTGTAGGATCAGTGCCTTGGAGTTAGCCCCGACCCTGTCATCCCTCAGCCACCGAAATCCAGAGAAGTGGGACACACACGTCAGCACACAGGTGCCTTCCTGGACGCCCCAGCCCTACACACAGGTGCACTGGATATGCTCACAGCTGTCCAACAGCCACCCGAAAGCCTGGCCTGTGCACCTGCTCACATGCTTGAGGCTAACCAGTGTAACACCCAGGTGGACAACTAGAGCTGGTTCCTGGGTGGGGTATGGGGGGATTCACAAGAGCAAAGCAGCAAGCATCCCTTCTCAGATATGGGAAGTGACTGAAACCTCATAACCTGCATGCACATGTGTGTGTGCGCAGACACACACACACACACACACACACACACTCTCTCTCTCCCTCCCTCCCTCACCCCACAGGCAGAGAGAGAGAACCCCAGCTTTCTGGCTCCTGGGAGTGAAGCTTGGCCTCTGGCCTTTCCCGAATGCTTCCCCTAGTTGTATATGGACAGGACACGTGACCACATACGCCCTCCTCCCATCTCTGCCACAGGACATATGGCATCCTGTAGGCACTGACTCTGGTTTCTTTGGGTTTTGAGCTCTTCTTATGCCCTGTGATCTTTTTGGCTGCCTGTTTCCCCACGGAAGTGGGTGCTGAGGGGAGCCTCATTCCGAGGGGAGGAAGTCAGATTGGCACTTGAGGTCTGCAGGCAGAGGCTGGGGAGGGCCCAAACTTTACGCTGGGCCAGGCGCTGAAGGGAGGCCTTGTCCGTGAGGGATTTTGAAAGCTGACCCGGAATTATGACCTCTGGCTGCTGATGCTGCCCAATGAAGTCAAACCAGCAGGAAGAAATGAGTGATTGAACCCTGTCTATGATCAGTACATTTCTAAAAGATGTCAGCATTGTAGTCCCCCTTAGAAGGAGGAAGGGGAAATGAGAAAACTGGTCTTGCTCAGGAGCAACCTGCATTTCTTTCTCTTCCTTATCCTTTGTCCCCCATTAATACTGACCTGTAAGCCTATTCCTTAGAGCCCAGATTCTCAGGAAGGCTCATCCTCTCCCCTTGCCTCTGAACTTTAAATGGCCAAAATAGGCCCAGGCTTTGGGGTGGGCACTAAGAGATTGCTGGGGGACTAGTTCCTCCTTAGGGCTTAGAAATCAGAGCCCCTTACAGCCTCACAGTCCAGGCTGGGACTGGCCATCTGAGCACGTCTTTTACTTTGTCCACTTTGAGGACCTGGTGCGTGCTAGTGCCTTGGGAGCTGCCGGCCTTAAAAAGACACCCCAGTGTTTCTGGCTGGTCGCCTTGAGGATGTGGGGATGGCATTGCTCTCAGGGGAGGCTAGGAGGCATCCTGGTGGAAAAGCTGGACAACCCAGCAGTTTCGGGGTGCCTGTGTTGAATTTCCCTCTCTAGAGGAAAGACACTGTAAGACTCACTCCTGGGCAGTGCAGGTGGGAGAGAACTAATAAATAGTGAGAGGACAGAGGACTCATGCAATATAACATCCCGAGGAGTGAATCTCAGGCCAGCCAGAGGGGCTGAGAGCCATGCTATCCATTGCAGTGGCCTCTAAGCACGTGTTGCTCTTGAGCCCCTGAAATATGGCTGCAAGATGCACTACCAAATTGAAACACACTGAGTCTCAGAGGCTTGGAATAAAACAAAGGTAAAATATTTCATGGATAATTTTAATATTGATGACATGTTTTAATAATATTTTGGCTATATTGTGTTAAACTAAATACAGGATTAAAATTAATTTGGCCGTGTTTGGTGGCTCATGCCTGTAATCCCAGCACTTTGGGAGGCCGAGGTGGGTGGATCACTTGAACTCAGGAGTTCGAGACCAGCCTGGCCAACATGGTGAAACCCTGTGTCTACTAAAAATGCAAAAAATAGCTGGGTGTGGTGGCAGGCGCCTGTAATCCCAGCTACTTGGGAGGCTGAGGTAGGAGAATCACTTGAACCCAAGAGGCAAGTGATGAGCGGTGAGCAGAGATCATATCATTGTACTCCAGCCTGGTGACAGAGCAAGACTTCATCTCAAAAATAAATAAAATAGACTTAATGTTACCTGTTTCTTTTTACTTTTTAAATGTGGCCACTATAATATTTTTTTTTTCAGAACTAAAAAAGAACTTATTTATTGAGGGCAAGGGGATGCAGACAATACAAAAATCAAAAGCTTGTCTGGCATTTAACTTTTTTTCTCTGCTCATCAAATGGGAGTTAGATTTTATTTGTACACTTGCTAAGGGTCCTGATCTGCTCATGAAATCCTTATTTGGGGGAAGCTGTGGGGCAGATTCCTTAAGTGACCCTTTGGGACAACTTTTATCAGGGCCAGGGGAATTCCTCGTTTCTGCCTACTTCTTTCCCTTTTGTTTCATGTGTACTACAAAATAGTCATTGCATGCAATGGTGAGGCCCGCAATTAGGGAAAAGAAGCTCTGGAAGCCCACTTTGCCGTCTCTGCACTGGTCCAGGTCCTTCATTATTTTGTCCACGGCCAGAGGGTCTTTTTGATTTTCCAAAAATCCAGGGAACTCCTTTTCCATGAGTACTCTCAGGTCCTCCTTTGTTAAGCAGCCTTTATCCCCAGCAAATTTGTGAAATGTAAACATCATGGTTTCCATGGCACGTTCCATTTGAGATGGCGTTTTGGTATGGTCTGTTGAGGCCTTGGCCAAGGCGCGGCAGACACTGGGCTAGCTAGACATGGGGCGGCGAAGCGAGCGCAGTGGGTTGTGAGCCTTCCTTAGTACGTGCGGCGGGTGGGGAGAGGGAGGCAGTGCGGGCGGCCACTATAATATTTAAAATTACATATGTGGCTTGTATTGTTTGTCTACTGGCAGCACAGCTCTAGAGACAGTTTTAAGGTTCGCGTTTGGAGGAACGGGATTCTCAGGGGAAAAGGACGCCGTCTTTAAGGCGGTTTTCTCACTTCTGTCTGCGGTGTCCTTCCTTCCAGCTTTATTCATCCTTATTCTCGGCCGCGATTATACTGTAAAAATGAAACACATTTTTTAGAGCCATCTTTTCAGGGTTTGCTTACTATCATTGTTATGAGGACACCCCAAATCTCATTTTTACCTCTCTTCAAAGAGTCACATGGTGTTAATTGTAACATCTTTGTAAGGAACTCCTAGAAAGCCGGCTTGTGTGGTAGGCTGCTGTCTTCGTCTTTGGACGAGTGTGCACGCATATGTGTGACTCGGAGTGCAGAGGAGCTTGGGTGGAAGGTTTCCCTTCAACTCTCACCCTGACCGTGACCTGGGTGACCTCAGTGGGACCTGGAAGGAAGCCAGCCCTCTCTTGCCCTAGTCCAGCACCCAGTGTCTGCCACCCCCCTGCCCCCGGTGCCTCTGCACTTGGTGGGGGATGTATCTCCCTTGCTCCTCCATGCCTTGCTCCCTTGGGACCTTGAGACCCACTGTCTGTGGGTTCAGGGAGCCCCAGAAGAGGCTCCCACAAGTCAGCAAAGCTGCGTGTTCCCACCCGTCAACCCTTGTGTTTGCTTTTTTAGAGCTCTCCAAGTCCCAGAATGACATGACTTCTGAGAAGCATCTTCTTACCACGGGCCCCGGGCAGTGTTCGGGCCAGACAGAGAGACGGAGCCAGTCTGATACGGCGGTCAACGTCACCACCAGGGTACCCTGAGCCCCGCAAGGCCTCCGTGCCGATCACCTTCATGTTGTCCCACAGGACTTTCTAGCTTGCCTTCTCTGTATATTTATGTTTTCTTTTGTTTTGTGGAAAAACAGTAAGCTGTTAGAAAAACACAATTATCAGTCAGCTCCGCTATGTGGGCAGGTCTGGCCCAAGGCAGGTCAGGATTCAAGGTCAGTCTGGAAAACCATTCAGACAGGAAAAGGCCTCCACCTAATCGCAAGCCCCTGAGGCTCCTCTCTGTCCACAGAGCTCCCTGCCGGCTTCAAGGCCATACCAAAGCCCAGGGGCTTCCTGCTGGGCCCACACCTGCCAAGTTAGCCCTGGAGCCTGCCAGACCCGCAGCCTTTGGCTAAAATCTGTCCTGGCCTCTGATGGAAGCCACTGAAAACATAAAGATATGAGCAAGCCTGCAGGGCACTCTTCCTACGCTGTCCATACCGCAAGTGAGAGCTCCCCTAATAAAGGTTCTAGGGAAATAATTATCCCACCTTTCCACCGGGACTAACCCAGCCTGGAGCAAATGCTTCGGGTATGAGAGAAAGCCAATCTTAGGATGGGAAAGGCTGCATTCTCGGTCAGCTGAGGTGCCTTGGCTGGCCAGGTACCACCCACTGTGCCTTGCAGAGTTGATGTGACTGCCCTGGTCGGCTGGACAGAACCGGTGTCCCTTCTCTGCTGCTGTGGACTCCACTCAAGCTGCCCCCGGCAGACGGTCCTTTGGGCGAGGGTGTGAGGTCAGCCCCCCTCTCCTGCTGGAACTTGCATGTACCATCTTGAGAGTTCACGTCCTGCTTCCCACTGGAGCCCAGTGTCCCCTCTGTAAAATGAAGATGATCATTAACACCTGTTCTGTCCACAACACTGGGTTTTTATGAGCATGTCATGAGATAATGTATCTGATTTGCTATCTAAATCATCTAAAAATTTTATCTAAATTGCCAGCATTTACTATGATGTGCTGGACTCTGTACTAAAAGCTTAAGTAGACGATCTCATTTGTCTTTATAAGCACCCTCTCAGGTAGGTATTGCATGCAGCATCATTTTACATGTAAAGAAATGGGGGCTTAGAGAGATTCAGTCACATGCCCAAGGTTGTATAGCCAAAAGTGGACTGAACTCTGGTGCAGTGATTCCCAGCTCTTATGAGTATGGGAGTCACCGGGGCAGGAGTGCAGTGGTGCGATCTCAGCTCACTGCAACCTCCGCCACCTGGGTTCAAGTGATTCTCCTGCCTCAGCCTCCTGAGTAGCGGGATTACAGGTGCCCAGCTAATTTTTGTATTAGAAACGGGATTTTTCCAAGTTGGTCAGGCTGATCTTGAACTCCCAACCTCAGGTGATCCGCCTGCCTCAGCCTCACAAAGTGGTGGGATTACAGGCGTGAACCACCGCATATGGCCCTACTGGGGCTCTTAAAATACAGATTCCAAACCAGTAGCTGCGAGTTGGGCATGAGATGAGGAACCTCAGATTGCATTTTTGGTGAGCTCCTGGGATCTGGCGAAGTCTATGTTATGAGGTTCGCAGACCACACTTTAGGAGCGAGGTTCTAGACGGTTTGAAATGTATTTGGCAGGTGTTTGAAATTCTAAAACACAAACAAGTGTCAGCTCATGCCAGCTTCCCGGGGTCTACAGAAGTGCCATCCGAACTCCCTCCAGGGATCACTCCTTCTCCTGTTGAAACAGGCAGAAGGGAAGGTGAGCAGCCACTTCTGAAGCTCTGTGTGCCCCACATGGTGACAGCGTTTTTTTCTTACCTACTTTATCACATTTAACTATTACAAAAATACCGAGATAGATATTGTTCCTCCCATGGTAAAGATCGGCCGAGCAGGGTAGCTTATGCCTGTAATCCCAGAACTTTGGGAAGCTGAGCTGGGCAGATTGCCTAAGCCAAGGAGTTCGAGACCAGCCTGGGCAATATGGGGAAACCCTGTCTCTACAAAAATACGAATATTGGCCAGGTATGGTGATGCAAGCCTATAATCCTAGCTACTTGAGAGACTGAGTGGGAGGATCACTTGAGCCCGGGAAGTCAAGGCTACAGTGAGTCATGATTTCAACACGGCACTCCAGCCTGGGTGACACAATGAAACCCTGTCTCAAATAATAATAATAATAAAAAATTTAAAATGCCGGGCGCTGTGGCTCACGCCTATAATCCCAGCACTTTGGGAGGCTGAGACGGGCGGATCACGAGGTCAAGAGATTGAGACCATCCTGGCCAACATGGTGAAACCCCATCTCTACTAAAAATACAAAAATTAGCTGGGCGTGGTAGTGCGCACCTGTAATCCCAGCTACTTGGGAGGCTGAGGCAGGAGAATTGCTTGAGCCCGGGAGGCGGAGGTTGCATTGAGCCGAGATCGCGCCACTGCACTCTAGCCTGGCACCTGGTGACAGAGCAAGACTCCTAAAAAAAAAAAAAAAAAAAAAAAAAATTTAAAAACTGGCCAGGCATTTTGGCTCATGCCTGTAATCCCAGCACTTTGAGAGGTTGAGGTAGGTGGATTACTTGAGGTAGGGAGTTCGACTCCAGCCTCGCCAACATGGCAAAACCCTGTCTACTCAAAATACAAAAATTAGTTGGGCGTGATGGCAGGCTCCTGTAATCTCAGCTACTCAGGAGGCTGAGGCAGGAGAATCACTTGAACCCAGGAGGTGGAGGCTGCAGAAAGCCGAGATCGCCCCATTGCAGTCCAGCCTGGGTGACAAGAATGAAACTCCATCTCAAAAAAGAAAAAAAAAAATTAAAAGAAGTTGAGTTTTAGTGAGAAGTTAACCAGCGTGTCTAACGTCACATAGTGAATGAAAGATAGAGCCAGGAACAGACCCGGGATTTGACTCTGACTTCTAAACTCTATGTTCACATAAGAAGGACAAATGAGGACTGCTGAAAAAGAGCGTTCAGGAAGGGGATTGTGGGAGTATGAGTAATTTTCTTACTCGCCTGAGTCATAGGAAACCACTCAGAGGCTGACACAGACTTCGGGCTAACCAGGGGCCTGGCATTGTTCTTGGCGTAATGCCCTGTAGAGGTCTTTATATTTAGACTTTGTCATCCTTAAGACAGCCTTGTGAGGCTTGCACTGTTCCTGTCCCCATTAAAGATGGGACACTGGGGCACAGAGATGACCAATAGCTAGGTGGAGCCTGCTCCAGAAACCAACCACACCCTGCCCATGTCGCAGAGCTGGGATGCATTTCTCATTTGCACTGTGATGTTCTGTGTGGTGGCGCATCCCACATACCGCAGGCTGGGCTTGTGGCGTTCTGCCTGAGGATGGCCTGTGGGTCCTTGGCACGGCCCCTCCCCTGCTGCATGTGCACATGGCCCAGAGCCTGCCCGGGCACGTGGCTCAGAGTCTGACCAGGGTTGTCTGATGGGCCAAGGGAACTCAGGGACAAAAGTGGTGGGTGCGGGGGAGGCGGTGGGGAGACAGCCCATCCAGTGGACGTTGTATGCCTGTGTCCACCTCTCAGCCACGCTCTTGGCAGGACATGCTTACAGCTTTCTGCGGGACTTCTCTCTCCCACCTTAATTGAGGATGTGGCTGGGTTGGTTGGTTTCTTTGTTTCGTTTTGAGACTGAGTCTTGTTCTGTCCCAGGCTGGAGTGCAGTGGTGCTATCATGGGTCACTGTAGCCTTGATCTCCCAGGCTCAGTCGATCCTCCCACCTCAGCCTTCCACGTAGCTGAGACTACAGGGACGTGGCACCATGCCTGGCTGATATATTTTATTTTTAGGAAAGATGAGGTCTCACTATGTTGCCCAGGCTGGTCTCAAACTGCTGGGCTCAAGCGGTCCTCTCACCTAGGCCTCCCAAAGTACTGGGGTTACAGGTGTGAGCCACCACGCCCAGGCAGATATGGCTGTTTTAAGGGACAATTTAGCCAAATGTTTATAAAGTACTCAGCCATCATAGTGTGATCTATAAATGCTAAATAACTAGTGGGTTGAAATATAAGGAGTATGTCTTTATTTGTTTTTGAGACAGAGTCTCACTCTGTTGCCCAGGCTGGAGTGCAGCGGCACAATCTCAGCTCACTGCAACCTCTGCCTCCCGGTTCACGTGATTCTCATGCCTCAGCCTCCTGGGTGGATAGGATTACAGGCATGTACCACCATACCTGTCTAATTTTTTGATTTTTAGTAGATACAGGCTTTGCTGTGTTGCCTAGGCTGGTCTCAAACTCCTGAGCTCAATTGATCCTCCTGCCTCAGCCTCCCAAAGTGCTGGGATTACAGGTGTCAGCCACCGCCCTGGCCCAGGAGTACATGTTTAAACAAAACATTCGTCAGACG